AGAGGGAGAAGCAGGCTCTCCACTGAGCTGGGAGCCTGATGTGGGACTCGATCCCAGGACTCCAGGATCATGACCTGAGCTGAAGGCAGTCACTTAACCAACTGAGCCACCCAGGCGCCCCCACAGAGATGTCTTCTTATGAGATATACACTTTTCTATATATCCATTTTATGTCAATAAAAAGCTGAATGGAAAAAAAAGATGCAGAAATAAAAAAATAAATGCATAAAAGAGCAGCAACTGGACTGATACCTGACTTCTGAAGAGCACAATGGAAGCCAGAGGGCAAAGCAATGTTACCTTCATTTTGTTGGAAGAAAACAACTGTCAATCTAAAATTCCATATACAGCAAAAATATCTTTCAGGGATGACAGTAAAAAAGACACTTTCATGCAAACTAAAAATGAAATGTTTTGTCTACAGTAGATCCTCACAAAAGGAAATCCTAAATAATACACTCCAAGAAGAGAAGAGATCCCAGATAAATGGCCAGGTTTGCAGAAGAAAAGGAAGAACAAAGAAAGTTATAGGTAAATATAAACCTAAATGAACACTGAACAATAATTATGTCTTGTGATGTTTAAAAAATATATAAAAATAAATAAATGAATAAATAAATAAAAATATGTAAGAGTTAATATACAACAATGTTGGCATATAAGACAGAAGGGAATAACCAGAGATAAGTATCATAAGGATGTGTACTACCTAGAAGAAGAATACAAGTATCAGATAATGTTAGACTTCAACAAATATCTATGATACCACTAAAAAGTGAGAAATACGATGTATAATTTTTAAATTGTTAGAGGGAAATAAAGAAAGGATAAACATAATTAATCCAAAGAAAGAAAAGAAAAAGAAAGACAAAAGCAGTAAGACAAATGGCACATAATAAGATGGTAGATTTAGGGCGCCTGGGAGAAAGGCTCAGTCATTAAGCCTCTGCCTTCGGCTCACGTCATGATCCCAGAAGTCCTGGGATCAAGCCCCAACAGGCTCCCTGCTCAGTGGGAAACCTGCTTCTCCCTCTCCAGTTCCCCCCTGCTTGTGTTCCCTCTCTCGCTATCTCTCTCTGTCAAATAAATAAATAAAGTCTTAAAAAAAAAAGATGGTAGATTTATACTGAAATATACCAGAAATTGCATTACGTGTAAATAGACTAAATATTCCAATTAAAAGGCAAAGGTTGTCAAAGAAGATGAAAAGCAAAATGTGACCATATGATGTTTACAGGAGACACATTTAAACAAGAATTGAGAAACTTCCAAGTAAAAATGTATAAAAAGACATGCTATGCAAACTCTAACCAAAATTAAATAGTGTAGCTTTATTAGTTTCACACAAAACAGATTGTAAGACAAAACATTAATAATTTATTTCATGATGCTAAAACATTTGATTCAACATGTATAATAATTCTAACTTTAATGCACTAATAACATAGCTTTTCTGTTTGTAAGGTTAAACATGAAATGAACTACAATGAAAAACAGACAAATCAATAAATTCAGAGGAAGTTTTTTTTTTTAAGAGAGAAAGCACTTAAGAAAAGCACTCTTTTTTTAAGAGAGGGAGCAGGAGAGGGAGAAGCAGGCTCCCCGCGGAGCAGGGAGCCTGATGCTGGGCTCAATCCCAGGACCCTGGGATCATGACCTGAGCTGAAGGCAGACACTTAACGACTGAGCCACCCAGGCGCCCCTCAGAGAAAGATTTTAGCATATTTCTTCTCAGTACTAGATAGAAAAAGTGTACAAAAAATCAATAATAATTTAGAAGATTTAGAAGATTTAAATAACACAAACTTAGATTTAATGGAATACTTTTCAATCACACAAGCAATTTTTTTTCATTGACTTATACTCTGAACCAAAAAAGAAAGTATCAAAAAATTTGAAGGGTGGCGGGGGGAGCACCTGGGTGGCTCAATCAGTTATGGGTCTGCCTTCAACGGTTTAGCGTCTGCCTCCAACTCAGGTCATGATCCCGGGGTCCTGGGATCGAGCCCCATATCTGGCTCGCTGCTCAGCAGGGAGCCTGCTTCTCCCTCTCCCTCTGCCTGCCGCTCCCCCCTGCTTGTGCACATGCTCACTGTCTCTTTTTCTGTCAAATAAATAAATAAAATCTTAAAAAAATTTTTTTGAAAGGGATAAAATGTTACATAGTATATATTCAGATTATAAGGGCCTTGCATGGCCCCTGGGAACTTGGTTTTCATGAGGGTTCCCTTCATCTCCAGACCTGATAAAGTGGATCAATGTACAAAAAGTTAAAAATAGGGGCACCCAGGTGCCTCAGTCAGTTAGGGGCAGCCTTCGGCTCAGGTCATGATCTCAGGGTCCTGGGATCGAGCCCCGTGTCAGGCTCCCTGCTTCTCCCTCTGTGCCTCCCCCTACTCCTGTGTGCTCTCCCTCTCTCTCTCAAATAAATAAATAAAATATTTTTTTAAAAAGTAAAAAATAGAGCTACCCTACGACCCAGCAATTGCACTATTAAGTGTTTATCCAAATGACACATAATGATCCGAAGGGGCACATGCACCCCAGTGTTTATAGCAGCAATGTCCACAATAGTCAAACTATGCAAACATCGACAGATGAATGGATAAAGAAGATGTGGTGTTATATATATATGCATATATAATGGACTATTACTCAACCATCAAAAAGAATGAAATTTTGCCATTTGCAATGACATGGATGGAACTAGAGGGTATTATGTGAAGCAAAATAAGTCAGAGAAAGAAATATATCATATGATTTCACTCACATGTGGAATTTAAGAAACAGAATAGATGAACATAGGGGAAGGGAAGGACAAATAAGACAAAAACAGAGAGAGAGAGAAACCATAAGAGACTCTTAGGTATAGGGAACAAACTGAGGGCTGCTGGAGGGGAGATGGGTGGGGGGAAGGGGTAACTGGGTGATGGGCATTCAGGAGGGCACTGGATGGAATGAGCACTGGGTGTAGTATGCAACTGATGAATCACTAAATTCTACCTCTGAAACTAATAATATACTATATCTTAATTAAATTGAATTTAAATTTAAAAAAATTCACATAGCAGGCCTAAGACTTAGAAAGGTCCGCTTGCAAAGTGAGCCCTTGCTTGGCCCCTGGGAACTTGGATTTCATGAGGGTTCCCTTCATTTCCAGAACTGATAAAGTGGCTCAATGTACAAAAAAAAATGTTGTTTATGCTGAATATCTGCATTCCTTCTGGGATTCTGGAATTTTGGTAGAGCCAGGCAGTGGGTGTCTACATGAACATCACCCAATAAAAACCCTGGACACTGAATCTCCTGAATCTCCTTGGTAGACAGTATTTCACGTGTGTTGTCACAGCTTGCTTTGGAAAAAACAAGTGCATCCTGTGTAACTCCACTGGAAGAGGATTCTTGGAAACCTGTGACAGGTTTCCTCTGAAATTCACCCCATGTACCTTTTCCTTTGCTGATTTTGCTTTATATCCTTTCACTGTAATAAATCATAGCCATGAGTACAACTATATGCTGAGTGCTCTGAGTCCTCTTATTGAATCATGGACAATGGAGTGTCTTTAGGACCCCCAACACAGATGACAGATAGATAGATGATAGATAGATAGATAGATACAGAAAGAAGGAATACTTTCAAAATCATGTTTGTATTCATAGAATAAATGAATATGCATATATAATTATTTTATTTGTTTATTGTCAAAAAAGAAATTTATGTCTTAAACCTTGGCATGGAAATTAATATAAAAACAGTAATTTTTTTCTAAAAATGTAATCTTTGTCAAGAAACAACTTATTTTTCTAACTCAATATTGGTATTTACTCACCTTTAGTAACTTGATTTCTCGCATAGCAATTTTTTTAACCATTTTGTCATCATCACTTTCTAAGAACTTCTTGATGGCCACAATTCTTCCACTATCTTTATTCCTACACTTCATCACCATTCCATAGCTCCCTTCTCCAACCAATCCTAGGTTCTCATATTTTTCCATTTTAATTCAAAACCGGTAGGAATTCTTGCTGTGGAAACCAAAACATAGAGTTAATAATGTTGAGTATATTAATTTCTTCCACCTTCCCAGTAAATTAATTCTTCCGTACTTGTTTTCCATATTAGAGCAGTCGCTGTGTTAATGGCTGTTCTGTTCTGACTCACAATTTCTTACTGTTTCTGCATCTAAGCTATGTTTTCAAATTATTTCATTTAGATAAGACATTTCATAATAGACAATAATTAAAGCCATTAAATTTAAATTATTAAATGTCATGTTAATGAAATTCAATATATTTTTAATTCAGATAAAGCAATACTTGAACTATCATGCAAAACAATTATAGCTTACTTTAGAAAAACGCAACTCCTTTTCACTCAGAGGTGAAAAAGCACAAGTGAGTTTTGTTTTGTTTTGTTTTTTAAGATTTTATGTTCAGTAATCTCCTCACCTAAGTGAGACTCAGACTCACAGCCCTGAGATCAAGAGTCACTCACACTACCAACTGAGCCAGCCAGGCGCCTCAGTGAGTTTGGTTTTAGTGAAGATCAAATTTATTTTTTTTACATCAGGTTTAAAAAAGCAAAGTTGAGGGGCACGTAGGTCCGCTCAGTCAGTTAAGTGACTGACTCTTGGTTTCAGCTCAGGTCAAGATCTCATGGGTGGTGGGATGGAGCCCCAAGTCAGGCTCGGTCTTAGGATGGGGGGGTGGGGAGGGAGATCTGTTTAAGGATGCTCCCTCTGCCCCTCCCCCCACTCATGCTCTCTTTCTCTCTCTCAAATAAATAAATCTTTAAAAGAAGCAAAGTTGAAAATCTTTATGCACTTTCTACTGTTTGAAAAAACATTTATTCACAAAATCATCACCAAGTTAACACTAAGAAACTTTGATAAACTATTTTTCTTTACTTTTCTTACTGTAGTAATTAAATTCCCATACTGAACTTACAAAATAACAACACTGACATCACAGTATATAAGCAAATTGTTTAAAAATTAAATTCTAGTAGTAACAAATACAATATTTCAAAAGTCCTTTTTATGATTACTCACTGTAAGTATGATCATTTGAATTTTGTGTTTAGAATTCTTTTACATCTCATTATATGACATTTTTTGGATAATGGCAATTCTAATAATGACTGATGAAGGATCAGTGATCATTCCACTACATATTTTGGTATAGAAAAAAACTTTCAGTTCAAATACAGATGGATTTTAATTCACAAGTCTTGATTGTCATGAAATATAAAAGCTAATAACTCCAAAGTTAAATTTATTTTTTAAATCTGATTTTGCAATTAAATTCCAGAAACAAAGAATAAAAAATATTTCTCCTAATCCCAATATGGTTCTAAAAGTTTTGGGAGAAAAAAATAATCTTTGAGTAACTATATATTCAAATGATGATTTATAGCTGATTTTTTTAACCTAACAATACAAAAATACTCATTCATAAAACGTGGAAAGGAAAAAAAAACCTCTCACCTATTTCATTAATTGTGTCCTTATGGCAATATAAAACTAATTTACCCAGGTTGTGAATTATGATGGTTTATTTGCTTCCATATTAGTACACTGATAACAAAGACAAAACAAACACCCTCTTTGTTCTAGCAAACTGTGATAACCCAGTGTGTATACTTTTTCATCAGTTTACCCTAATAATTTAGGGTTTAATTTATATACATAATAAAGCATAGATATACATGGAAAACCAGAAGACTGACCTGAAGGGGGAAAAGATGAAAGTAAATTCCAGTCAACACCAACTCCAATTACTTCATATTTTACCACTAGCTTTGATAGTAGGTTCTATAAACTGTTTACAGAGCAGTGTCCATAACACTAACATTCCACATATTTGACATATTAACTTCCATTTAATATCTACTATTTTTAAATAAAATGTCTGTTTGAAAAAAATGTTCGGTGTAATTCTCTCTCCTTTCCTGAATTTTTTTTCCTTCCACTAAGACAGCATGCTTTATGAAGGACTAGACTTTAGGTTTCTCATGCCAAGAACAAATATAGCTGGACTTTATAACCTGGATCATTTTCAAACATTTTGCAACTGGTGTCCTCAATATTTGAAAATGCAAAGTGAACAAAATTAAGATTACCTTAAGCATGTCTAAGATGTTCTGAAGCATATCACAAGCTAAGATTAAGCAAATTGGCCACTCCAAGTTTATTCTGGAAACCAACCACACATGTAGTCACAGCACATTGAACACACCTGCTTTTTCAAGTGGCACTGCCCACAAATACCTTAGAAGTCTCACAGCTTCAAAAGGCTCTCGTTTCCTGAAACAGTTACTCATAAACTACAATTTTTCATGCCTTCTACTCCTGTGTGTAAGGGTAATAAAAACTAAAAGGATGCCTGGCCAATCGGCAATGCGGTATTTCTGGACATGTGCCATGTAAGCATATGGTTCTAATACCAACAATCAGATAATAAAAATAATGCTAATTTTTTATTTTGTTAAAGACAGATTGAAATCTATCACAGATCAGAGAACGAGATAATAGAAGCTTTTAAAAGTATTCTACTTACTGTTTCTTTAAAATCCTTTCACATGGAAAGACCCAAAGGTTTTCAACTTGGAAACAAATTTGAGATGAAATGCATCTCGCTCGCAGGTCTAAAAGATGCTGACTAGCAAACTAGCAGTTCCGGAGCTGGTCTGATTTCTTCTGTAGACACAGTCACCGGGCCGGGGCGAATCAGGCAGGGAGGCAGATTGGCCTCGGCCTGCCGCAGGCTCACACTCAGGAGGACCGCGGGCCGCATGCTGCCGTCGTCAAGGCAACGACCTCACTCTGCCCCAACCATAGGCAGTCTCCCGAGAGGGATACAGCGCAGGTCAGAATGCGTCCACGGCAGGCACCAACACGCCTGTTAAGGCCAAGGCCTGTAAAGAAATTAGTTGAGTGGGAGGGCACCGTCTCCCAGCTCTCAAGGTGCCCAGTCCCTGGAGTCTGTGAACCTGCTTGGCTCCAGCAAGCCCTGGGCGAAGGCGTTGGCCACCGAGCTGCAAGGGGGCGGGTTCCCACCTGCCCGGCCCCGCCCCGAGTGCGCCAAGCCTCCCGTGTTCTGATTGGCTGGGCCCTGTCGTCACGAGCTACGATTGGCTCAGCGCCAAAGACCCTGCCCCTTCACCTGGGGCTTGGCCCAGGTTCTGTTCACTGATGCGCAGACACCAGCACCCACTTTATACTTCATTTCTCAAGTAGAGCGGCACCTTTCTGCCTTTGCCGGGAGACCTCTCCTCGCAACTGAGAGCAAGAGGCGATTCCGGCGGCTCATGGAGAGAATAAAAGAGTGGTGGTTTTGTGGGATTGGGAGAAAACAGAAGGGAGAGACAGGCACAGAGGGCGATGAAGCATTCCTCGCAGCTTCCCTGCGGGGGCGCTGAGCAGGACCCGCCCCTGGCGCCCCCACCCGGGAAGGTCCCCCCCTGACCGCGATTCGACGCTTCCTTTCCGGTCGGGGCAGTGGGGCCAGGCTGGGCCAGGTAGGTGATGAGGGTGACAGCCTAGGAGGTGATGATTAGTAGGTGAGGCAAGGTGAAAGCAAGTAGGTGACAACACAAGTGACATTAGGAGGGACCTCAAGGAGGACAGCCTGAGCCTGAAAGCGAGGGACACACTTTAAGTGGAGATAATGGAAGAGGGAGAAAGAAGATGAATGAAATAAGAGAAGGGCTAGGCCATCAGAGGAACTAGAAGAGATGTGCGATACGGGCCTGTGGCAGCCAAATAGGGTGCAGTTGGGGGTGAGATGTTAAAGGTACAGACCATGGCTTAAGGCTAGATCCATGACCAGGCAACACTGGTAGATCAGAATGACGCGCAGGCTTGAGTCACATAAGAAACAGGGTTTTTCCTCATCTTCAAGTAGTTTGGGGTTTAAGCCATACCGCTCCAGTGAAAGGCCTAAAGCACTCAAGTTATTTTCACATTGTATCAGGAAGACTATGGGAGCCTGGCTGGCTCAGTCCGTGGAACATGCGACTCCTGATCTCAGGGTCCTGAGTTTGAGCCCCTCATTGGGTGTAGAGATTATATAAATCTTTATAAAAAGAAACATGAAGACTAAACGTTTTATAATCGTATTTGGTCTCTAGAACACCTTGATCCAATTAAGAGAATGTCCTGGAACAGCAGATATTTATAACTATAGTCAATATTAAGGTATTAATTTTCTTGTATACTAAGAAATAAATATTCTGATTTATAAATTATCTTTTGTAAGCTTGGTTAGCATGAATTAATCTTCCAGTGCTTGATAACCTTGGTTAAGCTGCTTAAAATCTAGTTCCTGAACCTGTAATCATGAGGAGCAGACCTAGGACCTGGGCATGGAAAGAATACAATTCTTTGGTCAAACCAAGATGTCCTCATGTAGAAATTAGCTCTATCCCTGGCTGTGACCAAGTAGGAGGGAGCCATGCCCCGTTTTGTTACCTCTATAGGCTATAACAGAATTTGATGAATTTTTTATATGAATTCAGGAGACCCCCTTTTATAAAGTGGCAAATCCATGTTTGTTAGGACTGAAGTTTGAGAACAAGAATACAAAAATATTGGGGCGCCTGGGTGGCTCAGTCATTAAGCATCTGCCTTCAGCTCAGGTCATGATCCCAGGGTCCTGGGATCGAGCCCCGCATTGAGCTCCCTGCTCAGCAGGAAGTCTGCTTCTCCTCTCACACTCCTCCTGCTTGTGTTCCCTTTCTAGCTGTCTCTGTCAAATAAATGAAATCGTAAAAAAAAAAAGAATACAAAAATATTTTACTTTTCCAACCTTACAAATATATTCAACATTTATTTTTTTTTTACGATTTTATTTATTTATTTGACAGAGAGAGACACAGGGAGAGAGGGAACACAAGCAGGGGGAGTGGGAGAGGGAGAAGCAGGCCTCCCGCTGAGCAGAGAGCCCGACGCGGGGGCTCAGTCCCAGGACCCTGGGATCATGACCGGAGCCGAAGGCAGACGATCAACGACTGAGCCACCCAGCGCCCCCAACAACGTGAACATTTAAAGGCCCCTCTAGACAAGAGGCCCTGAAGCTTAAACAACCTGTTTATATCCCACAGGAAACCAAAAGGATAAAGACTAAAAAACTAGATTCGGTGAATAGACAATGCTTGAGAAGACAGTTTCAAAAAGAACTGAGTTTGAAAGCCAACTGTGGAGGAGACATAGGTTATTCAACAATTATACATCCTGGGTAAAGCAATCTACAGGTTTCCTGAAGAGGAGGTAGCATTAGGTAGAAGCAGGATTGGGTTATTGCTTATTTTTCATTTTCAACTGGGAAATCTTTGTAGAGAAAAAGAATGGAGAGAAGCTTTAAAGAGGCAAGAAAAGGAATAATGAAAAGCCTAGGACAGGTAGTGAAGGTGGTGAAGTATGAGAAGGTCTTAGCCTTGAAGAGGCTTGAAGAAAAAAGGAAAAACTGAGAAAAGTGTAGGACAGACACAGTGGCTGGTCTAGATCTTCTCAGTAAAAGAACTTCATTTTTGCTGAAAAAGATAATGGTGAGATTGAGGCTTAAGGATTTGAGAGCAGAAATACCTTGAAATAGTTACGAAGAAGTCATTTTGATATGAAAAGAATATACAATAGTAAAATGTGCCCACTTGAGCCTGGACACCATGAATTTGCAGTGAAACCAACTGACTCTATTTTATAGGACTTGGCATCCCCAGGGGCAAGAATGGAGAAAACAGATGGCACACAAGCTAACTCTTAGAGAATTGGTATAGCAAGAAGAATAAACAAAGGAGTTAAGAAATCAAGTATGATGGAGGGGCACCTAGCTGGCTCAGTCAGAAGAGCGTGTGACTCTTGATCATGAGTTCAAGTCCCACGCTGGGTGTATAACTTACTTAAAAAAAAAAAAAAAGAAAAGAAAAAAAAGAAATCAAGTAGGATGGAGAAAGCACCATTGAAATGGCTTGCCATGGGTTCCAGCTAGACAGGAAGACAAATTTTGACAGAATTTAGCTATTAATAAACTGAAAATGCAGAGGCACTGAAGGAGTGGAGTTCACATAGGCATTAAGTTTAATGGGAATGAAATAGGAGAAAGAGTGACTGTTAAGCCAATTTGTGAATTTAAGACCTTGGAATTGGCACAAGATGATGATGATGATGGTGGGTTCTGAAGGGTGGAATGTTTGGTTGTTCCTTTGGGTAGCTGAAGATTACTGAAGAACGTCACGAATTGAGTTCAATTCCATGAGGTCACAGTATGAAAAGTGACGAACTTTTTATGAAAAATCATAACATGAACTACTCAAGTGGGAAAATACAGGGAGAGGTTGAGAGGGACATTTTAATCACTAAAAAAAGTGAAAATATTCTAAAAATCTAAAGAAAACAATGTGGGTGTGCATGAGACTGGCAACAAGAGAGAAGTGGAGATATGGCAAAGAAACAAAAGATAAAAGAGACTAAGGACCGTATGACCCAGCAATTCCATTCCTAGGTATATACCCAAGAAAAATGAAAACATGTTCACATAAAACTTTAAACAAATGTTTATAGCAGCAATGATATTCATAATAGCCAAAAAGTGAAACTCAAATGTCCATCAACTGATGAATGGATAAACTATGGTATATCCATACATGGAATATAAAAAGAATGAAGTATTGATACATGCTACAACATGGATGAATCTTGAAAACATTATGCTAAGTGAAAGAAGTCTGACACAAAAAGCCATGTGTTGATTCCATTTATGTAGTGTCCAGCATAGGCAAATCCATAGAAACAGAAAGATTAGTAGTTACCAGGGACTGAGGGAGAGATGGGAATGGATTTGGATTTGGATGGGTATGGATTTCCTTCTAGGGTGGTGAAAATGTTCTGGAATTAGATAGTGGTCATGGTTATACAATCTTGTGAATATACTAAAAACCACTGATCTGTATTAAAAGTGGATTTTATGTATGTAAATTATATCTCAGTACAAAAATAGACTACAGGACAAGAAATATATGGCCTTCCCAGAAATCTTTTTCAATAAATTTACATATTTTAGCTTAGAGTAGCCCAATTGTCTTCCTCACATTAGTGATCATCCCTATATTAAATGACTCTTGGCAATGATCATTCTCTACACATCTTGACATCCCAAAACTATGTGCTTGGGTCAGTTTCTTGCCAAACAAACAAACAAAAAATACCTCTCACTTAGGTCCCAGATACTGAATTATCATAGGTTTTTGGCATCACTTCAAATGAATCACCAAGTGAACAGAAGGGTCATAAAACTTCAGACTACAAAAAGTAGTCTTTATTTTCAGTATATTATAGAACATGCAGCTATGTATGAATACATCTCCTCATTCTATGAAGAAAATGGACTGACTTATTTTGAAATTCTGGTTCTTTGATGGAGGGACACTTGCCATAGAAGAGAGAATTCTGTTCTCAACCTAGTAGTTGATTCAATGACCTCATTACTACATATAAAAGTGATTAAGATGACAATTAGGATTGAAAATCTAAAGCACAATATACCACTTACTTTGCCAAATTCAACATACATCTATACTATATCGTAACAGTGTGAACCTGGAAATCCATTCCTCAAATGTTAAAAACACACATTGTTTGCACTGGTAACACGCCTCTTACAAAAACTCTCCCTTGACGTTCCATCTCCCTCTAACCTCTACCCCATTCCTCTAATCTTTATAACAAAACTACAGAAAAAGTCTATTTGTTTCTTACTTCTGGTTCTCTCAGGCTTTCATCCTTATCATATCACTGAAATAGTTTTTCCCAAAAGTCACTATGGCCTGTATCTTGCCAAGGCCATCTGTAGCAGAGATTACTAACTACTCACAATAAGCTGGTTCCTTTTTCCTGTATGTATGGCTCTTTTATTTTCTGCAATCTCCATTGAGGTTGGGGTCATGTGACTTAAGTCAAGCCAATAGAACATGAGATATCTACCATTCCCAGTCCTGGCCCATAAAAATCTCCACACAAGATCCTCCATATTCCTTTTCTCTTTC